GCCACGCACGTTTCTGAAGCGGCTCTCTGTGCCGCTTCTGTAAAGATACATGCATACGCCTCCTTTGAATAAATATAGCCAAAATCCCACCAAAATCCGTTGCCATGACTTGTCGCGAGAGGCAAAAGGTTACGTTTTAGTCGCATAACATTGATTAATGGAAACGCCGTCATTTCGCAAAACTTTTTATTCGACATTTATAAAATATCGCCAAAGTGTTGCGCACATCTGTAATGGAAACGCGCCTACTGACATTGGCACCAGTTGCTTGAAAGTAATTGAAAAGGCTCAGAAAAGTGAAGTTAGTTCTTATAAAAGCTATCATTTGCTTCTAGATGCCACTTGCTTTGATATTTTGTGAGAAATGTATGAATGTCATTGCATCCGATAAGTACGACTGAAGTGTCCAAAGGCATCCAAATTATCTTTGGGGCCACTGTACATATCAGAAAAAGAAAAAAAAAGATGGAACATGCAATTTTTTTCTCCTGAAGATAGTGATCATTGTTTCATTTGTTCATCTAACAGAGTCGAATCAGAAGAATGTGGAACGACACAGTCAGAAAACAGTCAGAGTCCTCTTTCATCTCAGGAGACATCAACAGCACATCAACCCTCAACCAAGGTCAGCCATGCACCCAAACTCATTTCATAATAGACTGAGACATAGTGATCTGTAACCAGTCATCCATGTTTAATAAAATCATTACAAATATTTTAGCATTTAATTGACCTCATATTTAATCAAATTTATTAATAGCCAATACTTTTTGAAGCTCTGCACTAATAAACTCATCATTTTCATTTGAATTAAATACCAAATTCATTTATATTTTAACCATTTCAACAGTTAAGTTAAATGAAGCCTGCTTTGGAAATCTGATTTTATTTTTCATGTATAGTTATGAATATTTCAGATATATTTATGTAAAACAAGTTTTTTTTATTCAACTGATAAGCTTATGAAAAGCATGATTACTGGTAGACATGCACGAGTATCTATTTTAAACCACTCATATGTGAGTTTAGTTAAAGTCAACATGAAACAGCATTCGCAACCCTTTTACTAATGTGATGTGACATATTTGTCAGATAGCAAATTAATTAGACTTTGAAAAGTGGTCTCTCTATGTCAGGTATTTTGGGTGAGGCGGTGGATGAAAAATAAGAAAGATTGGTGTCGTCAGCCAAAAAGGAAAGTCGTTTCAGAGGCGAAGTCATTACATTTTGATGAAAGATTATGATGCCAAACTTTTTCTTTTTTTTTTCTTCCTTGGAATAACATGGACTAATGAATCGTTCACAATAACATCAGGAATATGTATTGAGAAAGTACATAGCATCACCTTTGATTTCATGTTGACTTTAATGGAAAATTAAACGATTAATGTCCATTTAAAGACACAAGAAGCCAGACAAGCCCCTTTTGGGCCTGTTTTACACAGCTACAGTAGTGAGTCAGTAGAAAATATGCCTTCGGTCAGCTATTTCAAGGATTTAGAAAAAAAAACTGTCATTTATTATTTAGCCAGGGCTGAAATGCATGTGATGAGAAGATGATGTTCAACTCTAGCTGACCTGCGGTAAGGTTGTATTATTCAGAGCCGTTTGCTTTGGCTTGCTCTAAAACACTCAGCATGCTTTTAATGCATGCGTTGAAGCACAAAACTCAAAGGTGCAAAAAAAAATAATAATAATAATTGTCTTTCCGTGCTTCAGTGTCTTTGCTCAGAAACAATAACAACAATTACTGTTTTTGTTTACAATATTGATATCACAGCATTGTGAGAAAGAAAAAAATAATAATATGGACAAAAAAAGTTTATAATTTATCATTTTAATTTTTAGCACATACTTTTTAACCAAGATCTTGAATTAGTAAGAAGTTGTGCCCAGTAGTTAAATTTAAAATACTCTTTTGTTAGTTTTTTGTTTGTTTGTTTTTGCCATTGGCAAAAATTCACCCATTCATTTTCAATGGAGGATGTCATTGACAAATGTTGTTAACATTTAAAATTATTAATGTGATCATTTCTTGAAATTAATTTGATTTAATATTACCAATTAAATTGCATAAATATGCAGCTAAGTAATAAAAAATACTAATAATAATAAAATAAAAATAAACATGCTTCCAGATGAAACACTACTCATCACTACTGTATGTCTTTAAATAGACATCTTAGAGGTCATAATCTTATTTGTCCTCTTGTTTTTGTTGCTTCAGGAATGACGGGCAATTATCTTCTTACTAACCCTCTTCTGAGACCACAAGGCACTAATAACCCCTACAACACCTTACTGGCTGAAACTATCGTATGTAACACACCAACGGTGCCAGTCTTTCACTCTCCAGGTGTGACGACTAATCCACTACACTCCTTTTAGCCCTTCTGCTGAAGTGATACTGTGTGGTACTATGAGTATTATCAGAGTACTAGGTAGTATCAGCCCCTCTGTGCTCAGAAATGATATATTAGGCTAAAACTGTAGTTCTCACTGTGTGGATTTACAGCACAGAGTAAAGCAATGTTTCTTTACTTATGAAGCCATTGTGATGCTCACAAGATTTTTTTACTTTTTTTTTATGCACGCATATTTATCTTATTTCTTTTTGTATTTAATATTTATATTTAAGCAATATATTTTATATATATATATATTATTTTATTTTATTTATTTATTTTTTTTGAGTGACATGACACTGTTAACTGTTTGTGTCTTGTTTTCTCTTTCCCCTTCCTGCACACACTCAGTGACCTACAGAGAGACAAGTATGCAATCAGTTTAAAAGTTGCCCATCAAATGTAATTGTTTTACCATAATTTAACTCTCTGGCCATCAACAGACCATCCACATATTGTCAGCACATGGTTCAAAATCATTAGAGTGAGGAAATGTTGCTCTCAGTGAAACAATACTTTCATCACCTCTGCATTTTACAACTTTGGGATGTTGGCACGATGCATGCACATTGCACACACAATTGAGATTTCTGAAATGTGCACACATCATTCTGAATGGAGATTGTATTAAAATCAGTCGCCTTCTCTCTTTGTTAAACAGTCTCGTTTGGGTTGGATTTATCCAAATACTTTCTTCTCAGTTTAAAGCTGAAATGCTACAGATGTTGAAGCCAGTCCCTTCAATTTGAAAAGCATATAGTTTGCAGTTACATTTGTATGTTTAACTGCATGTTACAACAGCTTCTACTGCGGCTCATCCAGTCATGAAACTGAGATTCAGATGCTTTCTGAAAATTTAATTCAAAACTGTTTTTGTTTTTTTAGTGGATGTTTAAAGTCGGTACCCCTCAAGTTTACACAGGTGTCCTTGCAAAATATGCACAGGTGTAGTTCATCACATAAGCTATATGTTCCACTAAAACCAGAAAGTGTCCAAATACTTTTGTTATCATTTTTGTCATTTAAGTTATAGTCTTATTATTTTACACAAGTTATTTGTTTAATGCTTTAACTTTTTTTCAATCTATTTTGATGTTAAATATTTTTTAGCTAAAATATCCAGATTATTGAAGCTTGTTTCTGATAAATAAAGAAATAAAAACTAAGACTTTTATCTCGCAATTGCGGGTTTACAATTGTTTGCAATTGTAAGAAAATGTCAGAATTGTGACTTTGACTTTTTTTTTTTATACCCCATGGTGGAAACGGGCTTCCATAGTGTATATGTCCCCAGTATATTCTCTGTTACCCTCCTCCGGTGAAACACCTCTATCTGTCTGTTTACCAGTTTAGTGAGGAATTCTGCCCTCGTGTTTCTTTAGCCCTTCCGTCTCAATATCCAGTAGAAATCTCTCTTAAACTCCCTTTCCTCAAATTACTGTCCCTCTTCTGTTCCCATCTGCCATCTCCTTCCTTTGTCTTGTCATTTCTGTGGAGAGGTTCAGGGAATGGCTGTGTCCGAGCCGCCCACCGGTGGGCTCTCGTAAGATGCAGTTAAAGATTATCGTAGCTCATGCAGACAGCCACTCATCCACCGGTGTGCAAATGAACTCCAATTACCACATAAAGTCCAGTACAGCAAACAAACCCAACTGTGACATTTAACGGAGGGAAAAGGCCTTAATTTTGACGTTAATTTAATTTGCTAAGTCCTTTGCTTGCGCTAACGTTGTAATTTGTTTTTTTGTTTTTTCACCTTTTTCTGTTAGTGATATCTCATCATGTTTTACAATAAATCATTTTCCTTTTTGTTTTGTGTTCTTTTTGTTCATCAGCAGCGCTCAGGTCTGCTGGCCTGAACAGACAGACTTGATGCGAGCTGTTCAGAGTGAGTTTTCTCTCTCCTGTCTGTTGGATGCTTTCGCTTTCATTGGCTCTCTGTAGTGTGAGAAATGGCTGGCAGACAGCCACTCATCCACCGGTGTGCAAATGAACTCCAATTACCACATAAAGTCCAGTACAGCAAACAAACCCAACTGTGACATTTAACGGAGGGAAAAGGCCTTAATTTTGACGTTAATTTAATTTGCTAAGTCCTTTGCTTGCGCTAACGTTGTAATTTGTTTTTGTTTTTTTTTCCCCACTTTTTTCTGTTAGTGATATCTCATCATGTTTTACAATAAATCATTTTCCTTTTTGTTTTGTGTTCTTTTTGTTCATCAGCAGCGCTCAGGTCTGCTGGCCTGAACAGACAGACTTGATGCGAGCTGTTCAGAGTGAGTTTTCTCTCTCCTGTCTGTTGGATGCTTTCGCTTTCATTGGCTCTCTGTAGTGTGAGAAATGGCTGTGTGTGTGTGTGTGTGTGTGTGTGTTTGTGTTTTTTTTTCCTTCTAATTTTGCTTTTTTCTGTTTCTTTCAAACCCTTCACCCCCACCGCCTTAACTGCTTCAAATCAAGCTGATGTTGATGAATTCTGTGACTGTCACCGCTCTTTCATCTGTGAATACACATCTGTGCCGCTCTTTCATTTGTGTCTGTGATGTTTGAAGCCTACAGAATGATTTTAATGTTGTTTGGGATGTGGTTGAAACCAGTGTTCTGAAATTGGTCATTGTGAATTGTTCAAAATTGGGTGATTGGGGAAAAATTCAGAACTGTGGAGAATTCACAAAGAATGAAATGTGCCTGCGCCTGTGGATTCAGTAAGGAAATTATGCAAATTAGGTCAGGTACACCTAGATGTAGAAGACTACTGCGATCTGGCGTACTTTGCTGGGGCTGTAGAACTGTGATCCAGGCACTTTACTGTAAAAATCCAGAAATGCAACTACACATTATTAGGGGCCTGGATTGTGTGTCGTTTGCAAATAATGCATGATTTCACGCTGAAAGTCGTTTCAGCTATTTAGTAAATTCGTCACTTAAGTCAATTCAAATGTATTTTTATAGCACTTTTCACACTACATATTGTTTCAAAACAGCTTTACAGAAAATCATGATGTTAATGTTTATAACATCTTCATATCTTGCCTAATAGTTAAATTTATTAGTTTAGAGCTGGGCGGCAATATAGTTTGCATTTTGCCGTTAGGATATGCTATATAATATCTGTCGGCCTATGCAAGTATATCCAACTTTATATATAGAACTGGGTGATAATATAGTTCCATTTTGCGATGAATTAAAAAAAAATAATAAAATCTGGCAGTTGACATTTACTATATAGTATACATTGCTTTACAATGTATGGATATAATATAATGTATAATGGATACAATTATATCCATAATATTAATATATAATGGATATAATATGCATCCAACTTTATATATAGAGATTTTTAGAGAATTTTCGACAATATAAACAATCGCACAGCCAAGATTTGCTAAATAGTATATATTGGTTAAAGTGAGTATACTGTATGTATGCTCACCAAAGGTCCAACTTTTAATATATCATTGGACGATAATATAGTTTCCATTTTTCTTCCAGTTTACCTTACAATTCTGCATGCGCAGACTAAACATATCCGATTTGTTCCGATGTTCTAAAAATGTTCGCATTTATGGATTCGACTCAAATGCAGGTCCTAAACAGCATTAAACATTGTGATTATATTTCTCAGATTTTGCGAGAGCGGACAACCTAATGTTTTTCATCCTCTTGTGTTGTTGCAGGACACTCGGTGACCAGCGGCAGAGATACGAACACGTTCGGGACTCTACCACTCAACGGCAACTTTAATAACAGCTACTCACTTCATAACTACAGCGACGGTGTGCAGGTGGTGGATTGCGGGCTCAGTCTCAATGACACAGCCTTCGAGAAGATGATCATCTCTGAGCTTGTGCACAACAACCTCAGGGCCGCCGAGTCCCAGATCAGCACCAAAAAGGGGGCGGGGATCAGCAGAGGGGAGGAGCCTGTGGTCGCGGAGACATCGTCCCTTGTGCAGGTGGGTGGGGACAGCGAGATGGACGGTCTGGGGCTGCACCACACGCATCCCCGCACACTCGAAGCCCCCCTCATCCCCCAGCGAACTCACTCGCTCCTGTACCACACGCAGGAGAGAGCGAGGGCCGACACGGACGGAGGGCAGTCGCATCCCCACAGCTACATCGGCCAGCTACCACCTCCAGCCGAAACTGCCCTGCCCTCCCCCATCAGAGACTCGGTGTACACCAGCATGCCAAACCTCAGAGACTCGCCGTTCTCGGAGAGCAGTCTAGACGTTGGCCAGGACCTCTCGCCATCCAAACACAGTCCGAGCGAAGACGTTTACTATAAAAGCATGCCCAACCTGGGGTCAGGCCAGCAGCTGCACGCGTATTATCAGATGAGCAGAGACAGTAGCGAGGGCCTCATCATCCCCGTCTCTAAAGACGCTTGTGTCCCCGAGGGGGACGTACGAGAGGGACAAATGCAGCTGGTCACAAGCCTTTAAAACAAACTGTAAGCACCGCCCACCATGTACACAGCCCCGCCCATCCACCGATGGCAGAGTGGTCTTCCTTTTTTAGCCTCCCACATAACTGCACACATAATGGAGATGTACCGCTGCTGTCCAACGAGTTACAGGCAGGCCCAGACGGAATCTGCAGACTTTTAATTGCATTTTCTGTGCTGATTTTAGGTGGAAATTTGCAGTGGAAAGTTGTCACTCATGAAATGTCACACAAAGCTTATGTCTTGTTTTTGGTAAAGGTATCCTTACAAAAATGCATTTACTTGTACAGCAAAAATGCATAAAACCTGATATTAAGATTTTTGTTCAAAAAAAATGTTGAATTATTATTTGTATTTTTTTTTATCCCATTGGGGGGATAAAAAAATATTCCCGGTCAAAAATGCTATGTTATGCCATTATGCTATATTATCACCAAATATTTTTTATTAAAATGTTTTCTTTCAATTAGCACAGGTTTTGAATGAAAATCATCCAAAAAGAATGCTTTTCATTCAATAACTGAGGTGCATAAGCCAGGGTTGCCAGGTCTTCGTAACAAAACTAGCCCAATCATGGCCAAAACAAGCCCAATAGCGGAAATTGGCAATCAAAATTACACTAAAATTGTGTTCCATGGAGGTCGTACTTGATCAAAATCACATTCCAGGGGGGCAGGGAATTTTGCTTTAACCCACAGACAAAAAAAAAAAAACTGCGGCAACAGTCTAAAAGTAAGCACAGACTTGGCAACTCAGATCAATGAAGCCCACAATCATTCAGTTCCAAAAATAAATACAAAATCTGTACCAACTGAAAGAAAACAAGTGGACGGAAAGATTGAATCCAAGATTTGGTGATAATATAGCATAACAAGACATTTGTAAACAATTCTTAAATGGCTGGCAACACCACATTAGGTACATGATTTTCAGCAAAGCACAAGAGTTAAGGTATATGCTGAAAAGAAAAGAAAAAGAAGAAGAACATTTACCAATGGGGTAAGAAACATCTTAGTTCAAGACATATTTCAGCAAGTATACTATTTTGTTAAAAAAAATGTTTTAAGAATTTTTACTGGAAAACAAGACAGAAAACACTAATAGGGAAACATATTTTTGCAATTTTTAATTGTTACCCTGTTTTTGGTAGCTGAATGTAATCAAATTAGCCACAATTATTTAATAAGCAAACAAGCAAGGGTCAGATGAAGTGTACAGTCTAACTTTGTGAATGAGGGCCTTCTAGTTTTGAGGAAATCTCCAGTTTTCTGCGGTTGCAGATTCCGTGTGGGCCTGGTTATAGAAATACAGTTTCACATTTAAAATAAATAAATACAATTAAGCCAACAAAAAAAGTATTTCTCGTTCCAGTGCATATGTTTCTCAAAGGATGTACATATATGTTCACATATTTCTCTTTTGAATGCGGTTTTGCTTTGTCTTTTTTTATTATATACAAAAATGGAATTTCCAGGACCTTGAGACATGCAGAGATTGTCCTGACTGAACTCAAGGAGTCCTGTAACACCCTTTTTACAATCATCAACAAAACCCCATATGACCACTAGCAAACAAACCCCAGGCCTTACATTCTCTCAATCATTCACGGAACTGTCAAGGGTAATGATATAACATAGAACAATATATTTTGTTGTATTGATTGTGTAAAATAAATTGCTATAAAAGAATCAAGAGCAACCCTAAATATAAAGCAAATGAAGAGATTTTGAAAATGAGATTACTATGTAAAAAAGATTTGAAGCGTGTTTATGATGAGCTACGCTGCAAAAGACATCGCCATTCCTCTGTCCTGTTCATGAAAATGGCTTTGCCGCTTCAGATCCGTTCGTTTTAGTAGATTCTCATGTTCTCGTGCCTTGCACACATTTATTTTGTGCAAATCTGTGCAAAGCATGAACAATGTCACAGCTGAGCATGAAGGAGGACCTTCTTCTTTAAAGACATGTTACTGCAGCTGGGGTTGGATATTTATTTATTAAATTATTCTTTAAAAATGATGCTTTTGTGAATATTTTACAGCACTGGTCGACGTAGTTCATCCTCATAAGCATAATTATGAAACCCATCTCTGATAAACATGTTAAGGAGCCCATCTCTACAAAGGATGTAAAGTTCTACACTTGTTTAAAAATAAATAAATGTGAATTTTTGTCTAATTGAATGTGTAATGCCTTGTTGTTACTTGCACAATGCGTTTAGAAATATGAGTGTGAATGTACTTGTTTGTGTCAACATACGGAAACAGAAAGATGGTCAGTCCATTATAAAACTGAAACGGTATTCCATCGCTCTTTTATCACAGTGGTTTGGCATGTTTATGCTATTTAAGCTGGTGATGCACATCAAAGTGAAACGCACTGTAAGCTGATACATAAAATGCAATATGAACCTTCATAAACAAACTGAGAACATTTTGCTGCATTATAGCTAGAGGGCAGTGCACAGGGGACCGGCAAGTTCATTTACTGGAGAAAGCTGCAGTTTATGAAGTTTTGAACCGGTCTCTCTGAAGTCCTGTTTGAAACTATCAGTCATCAGAAAGTTTCTTTCAGACAGCTCCCTGCGCTGCACCTGCTGACGTAACCTCGAAATTGTCCCTGTGCCTCTTTGAAATCATCTGAAATCCTCAAAATTCCTTTAGGAGACCCTAGAGTCAATGATGAGACAAAGGTTATGTTCAGAATGGAATACTGGCTTACTGCTTAATAAATGATGTGCAGTACACACTGAAAAATAGATACTAGTAGATAATAGTAGGTTTACTATTAATATGTAAGGCAGAGTACATTACACAACAATTTCAAACAGTAGTATATTTAAATGTAAACTTAAAATTTACTTTCCATTATTCTAATTTTGTGTGACAATGTTACCTATGGAGTAAAAGAGAGAGAGAGAAAAAAAAAACACTTGAATCATGGCTGGTTGCTTCATCGCAGTAAAACAATAAATAAATAAATGAATAAAAATCAGCATTGCATTGTGGGGAAACAATATTGCACAGTATGTTCTGTTGTATATTGATTGTTTTGGGAAATGTAGTATGTAAAAATTAGGCAGAGTTAACAGCAGAAATTAAATAAAAATGTCGAGAAGGTGTAACTGAAAGTGTAGCTTGTAATAAAGGGGGTGGGGGGGGGATCATTATTAAAAG